TCTTGAATTTTAAGTAATATGTATCAATATACAATACTTTATGCATAAAAATGGTTTTTAAGAGTTTTTGTCAAATGCTTTATAATATAGTATAGATTAGAGTTATTTAAGAATTTTCCTTTTATCATTTTTGTTGTTTTAAATGCGATTAATATTTATTTAAGGAATTTAAAATAAGCGTAATTTGATTTTTATTTTTTATTTAACTCAATATTTTTTAGAAAAAATTGTAATTTTCATCGAAATCGTATGTGGTTCACCATTAATTAATTTTTTTTCAATTTTTTAAATCTTTTTCTTAATCACATGTGTTTCAAAGTCTGAAAAATAGTGACTCAAATTTAACATGGAAAAATAAAAAATAATGGAAACATAGGGGCCGTTTACCTAAACACTTATTCGGTAAGTATTTACCGTTATAATTCAACACTATCGCTTACTTACCGGGTAAGATTTTATTTACTAAAACGTATCGTATGCAACAATTTATCCCAGTAAGCGCTAACCATGGTAAGAATCATTGTCCTCACTTACCGGGTAAAACTTTCGATTCTTGCCTTCGCTCTTACCGGTATCCGGTAAAGTAAAGTAACTTGATAAGCACTTACCTGGGTAAGTGTTTAGTAAACGGCACCATAATCATATATGATATGTGGCATAACACATATAATATGTATAACATAACATACGATTCAAAAAGTAATTCATAATCTACAAATATAAGATATGATGTCGTGGATGACTTACATTTTTTTCCCACTAAAATTTAAAATGATTAATATCAAATCTGAAATTTTAACAAAATATCGACTTTTTTGAAAAATGGCGTCGATTAGGTGTGGATAACACATGTGATCTTTGACCGAAATTGTAAAAAAAATCTTAAATAAATTACTTCAATAAAAAAAATATTTTGTATAAAAAAACTAAATCACGCTTAAATAGTTAAATCTTGAAAATTAAAAAAAAATCTTAAATAAGTACCTTAATTAAATGTATTAAATAACCCTGTAGAAATAAATGAATTTTCATATTAAAAAAACTAGTTGTGTACCCGCGCAATGCGGAATGAGCTATGAATTTTAACGATTTTGAAGTTTCATTGGTTTTATAAGATAAGATTTAACGATGATATATGTTACACTTGGTCTTAACATATTAATACAATTTGAATAAATAAGAGTTATGGTTCCAATTACAGACTATCGATGAAAATAATTGTATGACAGTTTAAAATCCAATATATTTAAACGACTCCACAAATGTGTTCGATTTACACCAAGAGCAAAGAACCAAGAAACTTGAGTTTTAAGATAAACAATCAAAACCAATAAAAAAAATTACAAATTTAACAGATCATAAGCCATGAAAAGACCAAAAAATATGAGTTTTAGAATGAAATTTCAATTGTTTACCCTATTTCTTGTCCAGAAACTCATATTAAGGTTGAATTAATACATGTATATGTATATATATATATATATCAAAAAAACCCAAGAACATATTAATTCAGAACATATTATATAGTGCAATTTGGACAGCATAACCCCAAAATATATAGTATATATATATATATATATATATAATTATAAATGTATAAATCATAAATATTAAAAATATTATTCACAGTATATATAATATATAATAATATAATTAAGTCAAAAACTATTCAATATTAAAGAGACGATTATAATGGTATAACTTGTTAAAATAAAAATGTATTTTTTAAATATGTTTTAATTGATGTACGATTATATATATTAATTCAATAAAGGTTTAAAATGAAACATTTAAAAATAAAGAACGTAAAGTAAATTAATTAACTAATTATATGGGGTATAAAGTGTAAATTTAAAATTATAATTTAAAAACAAATTGGTTGTGAAAGGGTGAGTGTATGTGAGGGGATGAGTGCATGTAAGGAGATGAGGGGTAAAAAAGTGTATAAAGTGTATCTTTGTCATTTAGTATATCTTCGTAATATAATAAAAATAAAAATAATATTAAAAAAAAAACAAATTATAGAATAAGGGTAAGGGTGGACTTTAGCAAATGATAGATATGTAAATTGCAATTAGCCTCCCACGGGTTATATAGAAAAGTATAATAAAAATATAAAATAAGAGTAAACTACAATTTTGGTCCTTGTAGTTTACACATAATTACAAACAACGCTCTTAAATTTCCATATCTACATAAATAGCTACTATAATTTGCATTTTGTTATGAAAACAATCTCTTATCCTAAAACCATTAGTGAATTTCCTCTAGCACATGAGTAAGATGACACATTTCAGTATAAGACTTCAATGAAAACAGTAATGTACACATTCCAAAGCATAAACACCAATACCTATTGCAATGGTGGAACACACACACACACACACTTGCCCTTTATACAAGCTATATGAAACGAATTCATGTGCCTTGATCTGGTACACACTTCTCGGATTTCAAAACATCAATATGCACGCTCAAACTAATACTCACAAATAACCATAAACCAATTTTCAAATATTTGAAGCACACTAAGAAAATAAAATCAATAATGATTACATAAATGGTAAATATATGGTTGTCAAAAAAACGAGAGGAACTCACCTGTAGTCCAAGCTTAGTAGTATACTCCTTAAGCTAGGATCACACCAACCGAACACCTGAACTGGGTCACCCAAACTATGAGTTAACACTCCCAATGTATCTCTAAATGAGTAATTACTAATCCCCCAAGAGAAGGTCCAAGGCATCGTCCCTAAAGTGCCCTTCACACAAAATACAAATCTGGAGAAACAATAACTTGAGCGGTTTGGCGTGCAATCTAGTTGTGGCGCTACCCGCGTAAGTCACTGTTTCACATGCGTTTTTCCTTTGCTCGAAAAATCCAACTCCATTCTCATAAATCATCGATTCTCACAACAACTAAGGATTAGAAATTTATACTAAACGCATACAAACTCACCCTTAAAGGGAACTAAACCAATCAATCCATAGGATTAACGGATTCCATAAAAAATTAGTAAAATCTCAAACAACCATGGGGTTTTTGACCCAAAGTCTGCCCCAAAGTTATAGGAACTTAAAAGAGAGTAGAATACACACTCCAAATAACAATCATCAATAAGAAACCGATTTTCCAACTTTTAGAACATTTACCCAAAACATATAACCCTCACCTCAAGACTACACATCACCAAATGAAGAGGAAGCAAAAAGGAAACAATAGATTACCGTAGATTGAACCTCAACTACTTGATCTTCTCCAAATCTCTAGCATATTTCTTCTTCTTTTTTCTCATGACCGCACACACACATATACACATACGCATGTGCGCGTGCGCGCGCGCGCGCACACACACACACATTGTTCTTATGTGACCCTGGCCACCCGGTCCCTTTTTCCATCATCGACACCCCTCCACTTTCTAGTCTCTAGCGACCTCACAAAACTTTGATTTTCGTTTTTCATCTTTCGGTTTCCAATACCCTTTTTCTTAGGTTTCCAAATTCAATATTTGTATTAGATTTGGGTTTTTTTATTTATTTATTTAGATTTGGTTTGCAAGGGTTTAGAAATCCATATGTGAGGAAATACAAAATTGTATGTTTTATAATACAAATTGAAGTCATCTATGCTACAACCCAAACCCTATACCGTGAAACTCTAACTTTGACCTCTCCCTTTCAACGTGAGTTTCTAACTTTTATTGTTTCTTGTTTTTTGTGTTGAAACCTACCCTCTTTCACTCTGAATCCCTAACTTCGATCAATATAAGAATTAAAAACTTTACATGAACACAAACTATGAAATCTATCTATTACAAGTGAATAAATGGTACCATATGCCCAGGTTAATGGTTTGCATCCTTGTGTGATGAAGTATATCTATTCACCCGTAATAAAATATGGCTGGAGAAAAGGGAATGGAGTGTCGAAGAAGTCATATCAAAGGGGGGGGGGGGAAGGAGAACGCTTTTATTTAAAAAAAAATATAATTCACTTGTATACAAGCTTTTCATACTTGTACCCAACTCTTTTTAGTTAAATAAAGACAACAAAATAAAAGATACCCTTCATTTAATGAATAATTTAACATAGTTAGTATAAGGGACCACTTTCAAAACAAAATGCAAACTATAATGACCATTATTATATTTAATAAAGTTTAGGGAGCTATTCATAGTTTTGTGTAAAACCACAAGGACCAAAAATGTAGTTTACTAAAAATAAAAAAAATATCCAACCTATTTCCTTATTTTGATTTTCTTTTCTTCGTATTTCCAAAAATATTAAGTCTATGAATTTTAATTTATTATTTTAAATAAATAAATTATCGTACTTTTATAAATTGGTTAATTTACATTCTTTTAATTCAAAAAACTACTTATAACCAATTAGAAAAAAAATTAAAATAGAAAAAAGACTTAAATCAGTTTTACCGTTTAAAACCCTCGCTACTTAACGTGATGGCTCCCCTTTCCATCCCTCACCGCCCCATCGTCGGGTTGACGGGTTAGGTTTTTTTACTTTAAATTATTTTAAGTTAAAAAATATGTAAGTAAGGAGCCGTTTACCCGATAAGTGCTTAACGTTAGAAGTCAACACTATAATTTATTTTATTGGGTAAGATTGTAGTACATCAAAAAATATCATATGCAACAATTTGTCTGGTAAGCGTTTATTCAAGTGAGAGTCGTCACCCTCACTTACTGGATAAGACTTTTTCATCCTTATTATCGCTCTTACCGAATAAGATTTTTAATCCTTACCATGTTCATCCACTGAGAAAAAAAAAAAAAAAACTTTTACTATTCAAAATAGAAAGGTGTAGTGCTTTTGGTTTTTAACTGCCGAATCGTATCGGGTCAAATTGGGAGTGTTGTCACTGGTCAACAAGTCAATAAGGTTGGGTTATTTATTTAATATTAAAATATTAAGGTGGGCAGGCTGCGATCCTCTACCGCCTACCTCTTTTTCTACATATAAGCCTCTTCACTCTCATTTCCCAGTAACATCCCTCCTTCCTTCACAACGGCTCTCACTTGCAGTCTTTCAGAGCACTCTCAAATCCTAAGGTATTATTGAATTGCTTCAACTCTTGTAGAAACTTCATCTGCTCCCTGTTTTCATATCAAAAATCCCTTCAATTCGATTGTTTCTATGTGGATCTAGTGTCGGATTGCTTTGTGATTTTGGTTGCTTTGGTTTGGTTTGATCAGCTAGCTACGTTTGTATATCGGATCACAGACATTTCATGTTATAGATATCATGATTCATGATTGCGTGTGCTGTTTGATCTTTTTGTTGATTGACGAGTAGAATGGTCAAAATTGTATAGTTGACTCGATGGCGAGTGCATTGCATGTGTTGTTGCTATAATTTTATCTTTGATTTTGTTTATTGTTTCTTAATTAACTTGAATCTAATTAGTTCAATGTAAACGAAAAACAGAGATCCGATTACATATCATCATGGCTCCAGCTGCAGCAACAAATGGTTCAGATTCGATAAAACCTAGAGGTATTTTAATACTGCTGCATGTATGTTTTTCTTGGAGTTGTTGTACTATGGAATATTTTATTTTATTGATTCAAGAAGATATTCTATTTTTCTCAGAAAAAGAACAATAAAATATTAACTCTAGCATCTGATTTGTCATTCTTTATATTTTAAACTATAATATTGGGCTCGAGTTTTGGTGTGTAGATCCATTTTTGTGTTGTATTCTTTTTGTGGGTTATAGTTGTAATATCAGCAGTGGAAAACTTTGATGTACCCATACCTCTGACTGTTGGAAGTAGTCAGTAGTAAGTGGTCTAAGATACTGTATGAGCTCCTCCCTCCCCTACCTGCTATATTCAGTGTCGCTAAACCTTGTATTGCAATTAAAGGCTAAGCATTTAACACAGGAAATCATCGATGTTATATGTTTGAATATATAGTTCATTATTCAACTTGAAAGTAGATCAGTAACTAAGTTAAAGTTTATAACAAAGTGATAATAAATTGAAAATTGTTGGTTACAAAATCTCTACTCCATATCAACCTCTTATTTGGAAAGTACTAGGTTTGAGATGAAAAGATGAAAATGTTGCTCCTTTTTTAGGACCAAGGGTGTATATGGTCTGTTGTTTGGGTCTTTCATTTTCTCAAATGCCGTGATAGGAGTTACTTGCAACTTACTTGAACAATCTAATGATCTCTCATAACTCACATGGTTTCGTGTAACGTACACGATTCTTGGTTCACATTACAGATGTCTGTATTGTTGGTGTTGCACGCACACCACTCGGTGGGTTTCTTGGTTCCCTTTCATCCTTACCAGCCACCAAACTTGGATCCATAGCAATTGAAAGTAAGTTTCCTGTCATTGTTTATGAGATTTGGTCGATGTTATATTGTCTAATGGGCACACACACTTCTATTTTTTCTCTTTTCTTTAATTGCTTTTCATGCAAAACTGTAGGTGCTCTAAAGAGGGCAAATGTTGATCCATCACTTGTACAAGAAGTATATTTCGGAAATGTTCTTGGTGCAAATTTGGGGCAGGGTCCTGCCAGGCAAGCAGCATTAGGCGCAGGAATTCCTAATACAGTGGTCAGCACCTCTGTTAACAAAGTTTGTGCATCAGGGATGAAAGGTGTGTCAGTTATTTTTGTTACTGTACAATGCAATTTTCAATTGACCATTTGCTAATTATGAGATTGAAGTGAGGAAAACTCCATGGGCAATAATAGCATATCTTTTTTGGTAATTGCAGCAACCATGTTGGCAGCACAGAGCATCCAGTTGGGCATAAATGACATAGTTGTGGCTGGTGGTATGGAAAGCATGTCTAATGTCCCCAAATACATTTCCGAAGCAAGGTAATATTACCTTTAATCCTTGTACTCATGACTTCTATATAACTTGACAAGAGCTTTGTCTACTTTTAGAAATTATTGTTATTACTGTTACCAGTGTTTGAGGAATTTCACATGATCAACAGTGTCAAATGAACAAGCCTCCCTACAAGCGCAGAATTCAGTACTTCTCGCTGCATGGTGCTTGTGTGGGAAGGCTCTTCCCTAAACACTATTTAACAACTCTGTTACCTCAATACTATTTTCCATCATCATTGTCATTATCATTATCTTCATTGTTTTGGCTTTTATCCAATAGAATAGAACCTTAATCTGTTCTGTGAAAGCACATTATGAGATGTGGGAATGTGTTGATGTTTTTTCAAACGCTGAGAAGTCCCTTCCCCATTAAGGAATACAAGTGATTTTGCTTTGTATCTACATGATGGTTTGTCAAACTATGATACTGCTTAAACATCAATTTAGGCATTCAATATTCCCTCAAACAATGTTCCATTTAAGCGCTCATCCTTTTTTGCTGCTTTTAGTGGCAGGGTCACCATATGATGCGGTGAACTGGAAACTAAGATAGTATCTCACTCTTTTGACATGTGCAAAGTCACATGAACACAATCACCTAGTTTGGAATGAAGGGGAACATTTTTTCAGGCACTGGTTTCTGATTTCCTATGATGTGCTAAATCCCCCCCCATAATCACACATTTCCACTGCTCTGTAGCTTCGCCTATTACTTCCTAACTTCCTATATAATCCTTCAAGTTAGAAGTTCTCTGCAGGTTTATAATTGTTTTTCTTCAGAATGCACGATTTAGTTGATAATTCTAGCAAGGGCTTACCAAACAAGGTGAAACTGTTTTTGAATTGCAGGAAAGGATCTAAATTTGGACACGACACTCTTGTTGATGGAATGCTGAAAGACGGGTTGTGGGATGTTTTCAATGATTTTAAGATGGGAAACTGTGCTGAAATTTGCGCTGATATGCATGGATTTACAAGAGAGCAACAGGTACAAAAAGTTTGGAGCTTTTTCCGTTCTTATGTTCTTTATGATGGAGTGGGAAAAGAGAATGCAAAACTAAGTATTTATATATTTTTTCAAGTCCAATTCTTCTACCTCGACAATTCCAGGACTTCCTACTGTACCTCGTAATGGATTCCATTTGTCTGCATAAGTTGTAGAAAGTAATGTTGAAAAGATACTAGGTCTGCATATTTTCATGTTTTTAGAAACTAAGCTTTAGCTTTGCAGCTTGATTGTTTTGTCTTTCAATTTTTTCGTACTACTAATCTGATAGTTAAAAACATTTATGATTGATTGTGTTCATTAACGTATGACATTGCTAACTGATCCATGTAGGATGACTATGCTATCCAAAGTTTTGAGCGTGGTATTGCTGCCCGAGATAGTGGTGCCTTTGCATGGGAAATCACGCCTGTAAGATTGCAACTTTTGCTAGAAATTAGACGCCAATCCCATTTTGACTCTTGTGCTAATGGCCATATATGAAACTGTACAGGTTGAAGTTCCTGGCCCAAGAGGAAGACCATCAACAATTGTCGACAACGATGACGATTTGGGAAAGGTGAACTGTTGTAATGATGTCATATATGCTGATGTCACGTGTAGGCACGTGATCTATTTGAGCTGCCTTTTGTGGTTGAAGTTATTATTCATTCATATCTGATAATACTAATTATAATCATAATGAAACTGGAATAAAAATTAACCTACAGCTCTTGACTTGCATGTGCTTAAAGCCTTAAAAGTTCTTTCTTCTTATTTCAAATTTGGCATGTGGATTTCACTTCTCGAAAATATTGGATATTTTTACGATTTGTTTTATTATCTGGAAAATATGAAGGAAATAATTCATAATTTTAAGTGGGTACTTTACGATTCTAAAAACCTGATATCTTTAAATAAACAACTCTGGATTTTTTTTTTATTAACCTGGATATCTAACCCGCTATGCGAGCCGACTAATCCCAGGGCAACAACCTACTTTGCGGATAGCCCGGAGTCACCACATTTGAACCTCCATGGCCACAAGGGGATTTTTATTCTCCTTGGAATTGAACCTGGGACCTCCAGGCACTTTTGACCTTTGGAGCCAAGCTCAAACCAATCAGGCACCACCCTTGTGGTTTAACAACTCTGGATTTGGGGATTCCCTAGTTGACATGGCCTCAGTTTGAACTTTGAAGTAGTAGAGATGTGAATCTGCATCCTTCTTTTACCTTTTTCCTGCTTTAATATTTGTTCCTTCACAACTTTTTGCTTCCTAACCTCAATCACTCAGAATTCATTGTTTTGTTCTTCAGTTTGATCCTGCTAAATTGAGGAAGCTTCGACCAGCTTTCAAGGAGAATGGTGGTAGTGTCACTGCTGGCAATTCCTCTGGTATCAAGTAAGCCATAATTCACTCATCCTTTGTAGTTAAGTTTCTTTTGTTAAATTTTTTTGTTGAAACGAACACTTAAAAATCTAATGTAAAATGGAATGCATTCAGTAGCAAATTGCTTGACCTGATGCCTGAACGTTTAAAATCATTGTGTAGCTAGAAGACTTCTTATTTCAGTATAAAATAGATGACAATGAATCTTAAATACACTATTACTGTCCTTTGGTTTCTATCTTAACTCCATTCATACTTACATTTAATCTAAGCAATTTTAAATTAATGAAAAGTTAATATTGCATAGTGGTATTTGCTTTGTTCCTGGCATGTCTTCCATAAATATTTGCCACATTTCTGCTAAGGAGGAACCTTTTTATGTCACAGTGATGGTGCTGCTGCACTTGTGTTGGTTAGTGGGGAGAAGGCCATTGAGCTTGGGTTGCATGTGATTGCTAAGGTTGCAGGATATGCTGATGCCGAACAGGTATGTGATTATGCCGAAGACAATATTGAGATTTATCAAATTCTAAAAGTAGCAGTCATGAGATGGATCAACTGACCTTGCAGGCACCTGAGTTGTTTACAACTTCTCCAGCCCTTGCTATACCCAAGGCTATTTCAAGAGCTGGATTGGAGGCTTCTCAAATAGATTTCTATGAAATTAATGAAGCATTTGCAGTAAGCATTCCCACTTTAACTTATATATCCTCCTGTTTTCAAATCTTATTCTTTCTTGTGGCAACTGCAGGTTGTCGCTCTTGCAAACCAAAAACTGCTTGACTTGGACCCCGTAAGTTCTCCCCTCCAAACATCCACATACAGTCACGAAAAAAAGCATCCATGAATCACAGATACCATGTTGCTTGATTGGTGGCCAAAAGGTGTATAATGTTGCATTAAGAAGCTTTTGGGTGTATTTTGCAGGCAAAACTTAATGTACATGGTGGCGGTGTGTCACTGGGACATCCTCTAGGTTGCAGTGGTGCCCGTATATTGGTCACGCTACTAGGGGTACGTATGCTTACATTTCTTCACATAAATTTGTCGGGTATGTGGGATTCTTATGATGTAAAATGCGGCAAATGATATGGATGCAGGTTTTGAAGCAGAAAGGCGGCAAATATGGAGCAGCAGGTGTGTGCAATGGAGGAGGAGGTGCATCAGCCTTTGTCGTAGAGCTTGTTTAATCTTAAACGCTTGCTTAACCACACCAAAATCTCATGCTTGTGTTTTGTTTCTTTCTTTTGTTTTGGTTATCAATTTTTCTCCCTTTGTTTTGGTTAGCAATAAATTAAGTTATTGTGTACTTAGATAAATAAGCATATGTTTTGCCAGTTGCTTATCAATCGTGCACTCCACTTTTGCTATATCTGAAGAATATATAACACAAAATACCAACCCAAATAAAGAAATGAACTTTTTTTTTTTATTAACCTGGATATCCAACCCGCTATGCGAGCCGACTAATCCCAGGACGATCACCTGCTTTGCAGATAGTCCGGAGTCACCGCATTTGAACCTCCATGGCCACAAGGGGATTTTGATTCCTTTTTGGATTTGAACCTGAGATCTCCTGGTATTTTTGACCTTTGAGCCAAGCTTAAACCAATCAGACACCACGCTTGTGGTTAAAATAAATGAACGTTGCCACCAGCAAATACCAACTTCTTGTTTACGACCCTCGTTTGGTATCTACATAAATCAAACCAAAATTCATTTCTATTGCGGTAAGCAATTTTAGTTCATTTACATGAAAACGGGTCTTTTAGTTATCTTAACAATTAAAATGGATAAAATTAAAATAAGAAACAAATCAACCGGTTTGAATCTTCTCTAAAAGTATATTCAAGCATTCCATATTTAGAAGAATCAAATCATTATTATAATCATATTTAATATATAAGTATTTATAATAAAAATATATTTAATATATTAAGTATTTATGATAAAAAAAGTCTATGAAAGAAATATTAGTAGGTCAATATAACCTATTTTGACTCTTCTAAATCTTTACCATTTTAAACTCGTTATTGTATTTATTTCAGGATATAATGATCAGTTGTTTGCAAAATTTGACAAGATAAATGATGTTTTAAAACATGTATTTTAATAAATAGTTATTTATTTCATCTCATTGGTAATTGACCTAAAAGAAAAAACTTTAAGGTACTAAACTTGTAAGTTTATGAATAATTCAGGGACTAAATTTGTATTTTATGGAAGTAATTAATTTAGACATCCCACAAGCGTCCAGCTGTACATCTTTCCTACTGCTTTCTTCATCTATGCAGAAAGGGGAAAAGAATAGTTAGGTTTTAGATTCTTCAAAATCAAACACGTTCAATCAAATCAATTCTCTAAGGCCAGTTACAGACGACTTTGCAGCTACTTCACATATTTCTCTCTGCCGGAATCATGGCGGTAATTTCCTTTTTCCAATTTAGTTTGATGGATTCGATCATTTTTATTTCCAATTCACGTTTTTTGTTATGTTATTGTAATTTGATCGATAATGTTGTTTTTGATGGTTGTTTGATTTCATTATGATATTCAAGTGATTTTGTTTGCTTTGTACCCGATTGAATCATATTTTGTTGCTGGTGGTTTTAGTTGAACTAAACTAGATATCGATATTTTAACGGCTTGCACGTTTTTTGTGGATTAAATTGATTGTATATATGGAATGATATTCATCCTTATGATTCCAGCCATTCCAAAAAAGTGCATCAACAGTGCTATTGTCGACTTTAAAATGGATATGTCATCAAAAAGTTTCTGATAAAACATACAAAATTGCACAAACAGGAAAATTTTTGGTCTTGGTAAACATAAAAGGGTGTAATTTTAGTTTTGCATATGATTAGTGCAGCTGTGCAGGCTTTTCCTTCTTCTGGATCAAGTCAACATTTGATTCACTAGAATTTAGTGCAGAGTTACTTGTGAAACATGTTCATCTTTGTTAGGATGTAAATGCATGACTCTGTTAGGAACTTTATAAAGAACATGACATGTATAAAAAGGAGTTCCCTTTTTCAGCAAATACATATAATCTCAAGAATTTTTATTTTCTCTCTTTTCAAATTGAGAAAAAAGGCATTTACCTCCTTGGATGTAGATAGTAACATATGATAGAATCTACTTATAAGAAATTACTTGGTGGACTGGCTACCTTTAGGAACATATGATTCTATCTTTTGCTCTGCAAAAAGGGAAGAACAATTTCTCATTTTCTTCTGTAGGCAGAGAGTAGAGATAGAGCTAATGATTTAATCTCAATTGGTTATGTAAATCTTAACTGAGTCAAAATTTGATATGTTGCTTCTCTTAACTAAAATCAATTACCATGCTAATCATATGCTCAATAGTTCACAGAAAAGCTTTAGTCTTTTTTACCTGTCCTAGCATGCATACCTAGATGGTGCTTCTAGTTTAGTTTTTTAGAGCAGTGCGATTCCTTGAGGAAGATTTGATCATATATTGACACAAGATATTCAACTTAGAGCATTATCCATGGTCATGGCTTCGCTGATAATATTGCCAGAGTTGTCGTCCTGTGGCAAGAATATTTCTTCTTTTGGGGTTGGGAGGGGGCATACTTTAGGGAGTATGAACATGAGAGGGACCAAGAGATGCAACTTGTAACAGCCTCCCCTCCATCAACCAACCAGCAAACGAAACCCCTTACAAGGAGACGACCACTTTAAGGATTGAAGAAATGAAAGAAGTCTTTGCTTCCCTGAAAGTTTCCAGGCAATCATGACAACAGACCATACTCTCTCTTGTACACAGGTGAAAGTTTCTCTTTTGTATTAGTATGGATCACTTGGGGTTGGAGAAATAAGATGTCTCCTTAAGGATGGAGGTATCACTTCCATTATCAGTACCCAAGCACTGCATGTTCCTCAGTACCAGAATTTTTTGCTTTACACATGACCTTGTGGTGATGAGCTACACTACCTCTGCCCAATGAGGCCACCTGTTACAACTCTCTGTTTCTGTTGCTGTTATGGTGGTCTCTCATGCAGGATCCTACCAGTTTATGAGATTGTTATCCACATTTCACCTACACAGTTTCACTTCCACATTAAAACAGCCTTATGCACTTCTGTCAACATTTCACCTACACAGTTCCACTTCTGAACTATAGCGGCCTTGTGCACTTCTGTACAGTTTCTTACCATTTCTACTTTTCTCTTGCAACCTTGCTTTTCAGTTAAATTGCTTTTGTCTTGGTGCTTTGGTTATCTCAAATGTAGCTAGGCATGACTGCTTAGTCTGATTGATGTGAGCATTACATTTTGATCTTATGGTTTTTGAAAATTTTCAGTGGAAACCATCCTATAATATATCTCTATATTTTTGCTCTTATCTACACCCCCAATAATATGCCTAATCTGTGTTAATAGGCTTATGATGGATTTTTAGTTTGTGCACTTAACTTGCATATATTTGGATCGGGATTGTCATTCTTGCCGCAAACTGAAATGGTTATTGGTCAAACTCATCTCAGTATGAAGTTTTACCAAATTCATAACTACTCAAATGGTTATTGGTAACTAGGACCTGCCTTATTTTTCCTTATCACATAGCAACCTAAGGTCCTATGAGTGTCAATGGATGGATCAATCAAAGCCAACCACAATATAGAGGTTGAACGACGATGAAGACTGGCACTATAACTCTATTAGCAATGCTAGCATCAATATTGCTCTGTTATGAAGTTCCTCACAGTGGTTTTGTTGACGAGTTCTTGTAATTACATTCACATATCAGTTTATACTAGAACAAGGTACATTTACTCATGTGTGCTTGCTATGAAATATGAATCTTGACCAGCATAATCGTTTGATGTTATGAGTTTCACCTTTACTTGTGGAAACAAACAACTTATCAGTTGCTTTCATAAGTTAATAATTATTAGGAAGATGGACATGACTCCGTCCACCAAACAGGTTTACCTCACACAATCACTATGAATGTAGTTCTCACTCCAAAACCTGTGCATCATTGACCTTTTGTGGGGAAAAAATCCTTACAGAAGAAAAACATGGTTCATTTGTTTGTTACCGTGTTTTGTAATGCTGAACCCACATTGAATCATAATCCTTAAAACTTCAGTATTTTTGATGACTGGATGAATAATGGATTTTAGCTTATTCCTACTAGGGCTGTTAATGGGTCAGATTTTAATCATGATATAATCTGATGTAATTTGTTTATATGGACCAACGAATCATTAGAAGTGCTCATCTGATCTAATTGATGATCTAATAGATCAATCCATTTAGATGGATGATGAATCATGTACTTGGATCGATCCAAATCCATCTGGATCAAACCCCATTTAAACCAATGTTTTAAATCCCAGACGTTTTATTGACTTGCAGAAGTTTAATGAACAGCTGAATTGTCGGGCCAAACATGGTCGGACTCTCATTAATCCATGACATCATGAGTAGGTGAAAAGTAAGTTATATAACGACAATGACATAAATCGTTGATTAAATACTCGAACAACATAGCAGTTTGGGATCTTTTTTACCACATGAAGTTTTCAAATTTCAATGTAACACAAACGTAAAAAGTTAAAAATATTTTAAAAACAGGGGTATGAGAACGTATGGACAACTGAATTATATCATCTTGTGAGAAAATATTAAAACATCATTGTAGATTTCCCGTGTTGCAATTACAATAATGTTTTTTTACAGGAAGTAGGACAGCCGCTGCCAAAATTTGGTGAATGGGATGTGAATGACCCTGCATCAGCTGAGGGATTCACAGTTATTTTTAACAAAGCTAGGAATGAGAAAAAGGCGGGTGGAACAGCAGATTCACCACCCAAAAGTGACTCCACGCACCGTAAACCTGGGGCCACTACTCTTGGAAAGCCTCAATCTGTAAGCCGTGATCTTATTTGCATGCTTAAGATATGAAATCAGTAGCTCATTTTCTTAATGGTTTTTCAATGTCCTGCAAAAGAGAGATTGCATCAAGGTGGTCACTTATAATAAATGTCGATAAGAATTACAAAAGTCTCAGGCCAACAAATGACACCACACTCTCCTCTTACATCAAGTTATAGAACTTGATAGAACTCCCTGTAACTTTTTATATAGGACGCACAATTGTTTGATCCTATAAACTTAAGTTCTATAAAAGCAGTCTATTAGGACATTTAGGGGATGTTTGGTTGGTTTTCCATTAAATCCTGTATGAATAAAATTATCTGCCTAGAGTAATCTGTCTTGATAGATTTGGAAGGTTTTTGTTTCGGACTTGGGAGGGTTTTTTCATAAATGGAAGGAGAGTGTTTTTCATTGGGAGGGGCAGGTTTGGAAGAAAAAAACTTGGCTTTCTGCATAGGCTCCCTCTTAAAAGTTCACTGAATAAATCACTTTCTATATCATTAAGCCACTACCAAACAGTCATGTATAGCTGACCAAATAAGTTGCGACTTTCATTAAGCTCATGAAGCTGTTAACAAACGGGCTAGTAGACATATTTGGAGTGATATAAAACCGATTTTGTTGTAGTGCTTGTTCTGGTTCTTCCTAAATGTTAGTTTATCTTTTGATATTTGCCAATGAAAATCAATGAATCCAAAAATGGGGCTTGGGGGGCGGGGTAGTTTCCAGATGCCTAAATTTGATTGGGGGCATATTTGATGTGATTACCTATGGCTTTGTAGTCACCCCCTCAAATCACTACCCTCTCTGTTTTCTTGGCTCTGCTTTTGGGTAGTGGTTTATGTATTCTGTACTTAATTCTATTGAAACTAATAAACTTTACTGTGCAGAAGAAATGGTTCTGCTTCAAGGCATGAAACTATATATACATATATATGTGTATAACGGAAGACGGTTATTTGTCTTGTGGACTGAAGTCAAAACCATATATAGATATTTGTATATGTACGTCGTATCTTCCAAGAGGCCAGATCTTTCAGGGTCCTGCTGAATCTCCGTCTGCTGGTGTTTTTATGATGATATCCGTTGCGTGTCTTCTCTGTTTTACATATTTCTTGTTAGTTTGGGTCAATAATGTGGTTTTCGCTGATTGCTGTATTATCCGATTCAATGCACAATTTCTGCTGTTTGTGTGCATATACTCATCACGATCTTGATGGTAATCTAGTAGGATGCCTCAACATGTTGCCGTTAATTATTGTTAATCTGTATTGTTTGTCTCGTTGGTATACCATATACCTGATTGTCGGTTATGCTAATACAAAGCATGCGGATAGTCGGATGGATTTACGAAAGCATGAGTTCGTGAATTGATTGATCGTATGTTAGGAACTGTCACATGCCACCTCACTGATAAGCAGTGTAGATGTACGTTTATCTTCACGGATTTAGCCTAGTGGGTACGTCTTTGCAGAATGAGGGAGAGGTCTAGGTTTGACTCCAAAGACTAGTCACCCACCTAGGGGTGGCAAAAAAATACCCAACTTAAAATTAGCAGTTTGGGTTGAGATTTTCAAGTCATTTAAATAAATGGATCAATCCGTCTAACCCATTTAAATAAATGGGTTGAGTTGGGTTGAATTTCTCGATCCGTTTTCAACCCATTTAAAATATAATATAATTTTATTTTATTCTTAATATATATCTAGTATTCTAATTTTTAATTTTGTTTTATTTTTAATTAAAAATCCTACCATCGTGAGATGAAATTCCAATCGCCTCCATTACTCTTAATCATCATGAACCCGAAGAAAACCCTTTAGTCCATTACTCCATTATCGCCTCCAAAGTCTAATTCAACTTATTTTGAACAATATATTTGTTGTGGTTGTGTTTTATTCAAACTTTGAACAATTTGTTTGTATTATTGGTTGTGTTTTATTCAAAAAAAATTAAATAGTCTAGTTCTTTTTTTATTTAAAATTTTAAAATTATATGGGTCAATTCAGGTTCAATCCATTTATTTAACATGTTGGGTTAAGAAAATTGTAAACAGATCAACCCGCTGTCAACCTATTTAAGTAATAGGTTGGGTTGAGATTTTCAACCTGTTTAATAAATAGGTTGAATCCGAACCTAATCCAACCTGACCCATTAACACCCCTAACTCAAATGGATATCGTAACCTTAAAAGCTGCATTACCATTTAAGTTCCAACTAACCATAAATGGGCCTGATCTGTAACGGATCGGATCGATCATGCAACCGGTTGATGAAGCGATCGACCACTATTGGGGCTTTGTAACCGGTTACTGTAATGTAACTAAGCCTGTAATCGGGTCCCTATGTTTTTCTTTACTTTTGTATTTATCATCAAATAAGTAAAATGTTATTTGATTTATACTTTAAATAGACTAAGAAAGTTCTAAGAAATAAATTCATTTATTATAAATAAAGAGTTTCAAAATAATTTGTGAATAGTTAGTTTTCAAATTCTCTAAGTTTCCCTCGTTAGCAAACACAAGGGTTGTTTATCAAACATTTACAAGGTAAGTGTTTATCAAGTCATGTTACCTTACCGGATAAAAATGGCGAGGAGCGAGTCTTACCTGGTAAGTGAGGGTAACGACTCTTACCCAGTTAATGGTTACTGGATAAATTGTTGCATATGATGTTGTTTTGATGAATTAAAATCTTACCTTGTAAGGTAAGTGATACTGTTGAATCTTACCGGTAAGTGTTTACCAAGTAAGTGTTTGAGTAAACGGCTAAGTGGGTGTTTCAAACCCTTACTTGAATAGATCTTTTTATTACGACTTTGTCAACTTTTGTAGCTTTTTTTTTATTAACCTGGATATTCAACCCGCTATGCGAGCCGACTAATCTCAGGGCGATCACCTGCTTTGCAGATAGCCCGAAGTCACCGCATTTGAACCTCCGTGGCCAGAAGGGAATTTTTATTCCTTCTTGGATTTGAACCTGAGACATCCTGGTACTTTTAACCTTTGGAGCCATGCTCAAACCAATCAGGCACACCCTTATGGTTTTAGATTGAGATATATCAATTTTCAACCAGTTGATAGCTATAGGCATGTAAATCGTCATCTCTACTCAATTTCATGTCGAAGCAAAGCAAATTGTCGATGAAGACTTGAAGAATGGGGGCCATGATTTGATGAACGAAGGTTTTGTTGAGATAAATCGCGGTTTCAGGGTATGTAGGGCCGGTCTGTACGGATTTGACCTTGTTGCCTTTTCCGTTGGGACAATTCAACGGAGACAATGAGTTACTACCTTGTATTATGTTTTAAAACTCATTTTCGACATGAAAACTAAGACAAAAAGAACTTACAAACGCAAAATAGGGAAATAGAACATAAGCGAACCACATACCACCTCGGAATTGGTTCTCAAAAGGTCAGTATTGATTACACGCTAAAAGAAAACCAAACTGAGTTCGTTACATAGCATATCAAACTGGACCGTTCTAGTGCTTTAGACACGGATGGTTACCGACAATCACCAAAAGTTTCAAAAGATAAAATGTACATATAGAATTTAGCGTTACCTCAAGTGCGAAATTCCCATTTGTAATACAATGAACGATGACCGTTTGCGAAATATCATCCACATAAATCTGCATTTCAGCATTACAAGTGATGTTGGTCATGACCAACTAGTATTCTATAGGAAGCAAGCAAACAGATGAAACAAAACTTTATATATATACCATCTTCAAAAACCTGCTTAATGCCAGCCAGAAGGGCTAACTTTGATCCCCATCTCGGCAACTGAATGCAGACGTGTCTGTAAAGATGCCCACCTTCTTGCACGCTAGGCTAAAGCCGTGGGGACAGATATGTCTTTTCCAAAAAGTTCCTCGATACCTTTTGTGGGATCTTTTTGCTTCACAATCGACTCCCCAACTAAGATCTGCATTACACATCCGGTATACATCAAAGATGAACAACTTCGGGCACTAAATAATCGAATCACTTACTGCTTTCACACCAGCTTCTTGTACATAGGCAACATCAGCAGGGGTGAACAATCCGGACTCCCCGACCACCTGACAAGTTCAAAGATCAGAAATCATCTGAACGTAAAGTGTCTGCTTTAGCCTAGCAGGTAAGGAGGTGGGCATCTTTGCAAGAATATGAACGATCCCTCATTTCACAAGAAACTAAATAGTTGCACCACATCTTACTGTTATGTCTTTTTGGCGAATCTTCTCACCACGTTCGCCTTCAAGCAGCTTCTTTGTGTTACTGATGTCAACCTCAAACGTTTCTGCAATCGTGGCATGAAATATATACAAAGACGCCCAGGGGAAAACAATGAAAGATGATAGCATTATGGGGGGTTCAAGAGTGCGAAAACTTGAAAGTTTCTTACCAAGATTACGATTATTGATACCAATGAGTTCGATCCCATCAATTTTAAGGATGCGATCCATTTCATTCTCATCTTGTACCTAAGAACAACAGAACCCTAAACAGGTTTAGTTATTGGTTTGTTATTTCATGTAATGATACATAAAGAACGAACTAGTTATGCTACTATGATCAGATTTAAATGAAATGTAAACTGTAAACTTGTGACATGCAAACCTCCACCAGTACGGCCAATCCGATCATTCTGCAAATCTTAGTCATATATTTGATGTCAAGATCTGGTAAAATAGATGCGATTAATGAAACAGCATCAGCACCTTTTGCTCGAGCATAATAGAGTTGCCATGCATCTACGATGAATTCTTTGCATAATAAAGGGCACTGTAGTTAAGCAGTGTCAGACCCAAATGCCGATAGAATCATATTGAAGGAAAGTTGCAGCAAAAAATCAAGGAAACCAAAGGACTATTTGCTCGGTTTTATCCGGGTTATTGGTAGAGCTCAGGTTCCCATGAGATCAAGGATTCAAGAGTGTACGTGAGTATTTATATACTTCAAAAAGAAAATCAAGAAAAGCTCATACCGTCACTCCAGCATTCCGAATGGCCTCTAGATTTTCAAAGCTTCCCTAAGTTGAGAAACAGAAAATCAGAAGTTCACAAATCTTGAAATTGATCATATAATCAATCAAAAGATGCAACAGCTTGTACCTGAAAATATTTTTGGTCAGTTAATACACTGATGCATGCTGCTCCACCATTCTCATAGGCTTTTGCGATTTCAACCTGTCAAAAACCACTCAAAAATAACTAACAAGAAGAGGAAGAATAAAGATTGTCCACAATTTACTGCCACATTATATCTCACCTTTCCTTGAACTGATGTGAAATCTTCATTTTTATGACACAATCCTTTCCTCAGAGACCCTAAACCCTAACGGAACTTTTTCTAGTTATGCTAACATCAATAAGGGCCTCTTTGTTAACAGCTTAACGAGCTTAATAGGATTCACAGCTTATTCAGTGAGCTATACATGACTGTTTGGTAGTGGCTTAGTAATATGGAAAGTAACTTATTAGCTTTTAGGGGGAGCTTTATACAAAAAAACCAAGTTTTTTTTTTCTATAACTGCCCCTCCCAATTAAAAAACATGCTCCTTCCATCTATGAAAAAACTCTTTCAAACAAAAACCCTTTGAATCTAAATAGACAGATTGATCCACACAGCCAGCTTTATAAAGGACTTAATGGAAAACCAACCAAACAATAATCTTTTCCTTGGAATTCTGACTATTATAGTTACATATATACTCGTCTACAATAGAGAACTTGAAAACACTTCAGATCATAGTTTATGGACCGAAAATATACCTTCATGCCCAATATCATGGAACCATATATTCGTTAATAAAACTATTCACTCGATGATTCTTAATCAGATCCTAGATTAGGCATTGGATATGCATATAGAAGAGCAGTACCGAACTGAAAGTGGCAACTTACAGGATCAAAATCTTCCCTTAGAACTCCTTGACTTGGTGAAGCCTTTTTCACTTCAGCAATTAGAGCAGGCCTTCCCGTTCGTGTATATGATGCCTTAAGAGCTCCTATGAAGTCTCTGGGCGGAGGAGCATTGTCAATAGCTTTCTTCAATGTAAATAGAGGTTTTTTCCCTTTCACCTGAAAATTGTTCCTCAATTAGCAGGGGACATGATAATGAACTACAAAAACTTGTGTTGCAGAGTAATGGAAAAGCAGACCTGCGCAACTTCTACGTCCTTGTTCCATACAATTTCCTCTAGTATGTTACGAGGAGTATTACCTTCATTCTGTAACCGGAATTCAAAAGGACCAACATGATGCAAAGAAGGTCCTGTTGGTGGTCGTCTTCTGATTCGTATGCCTTGGGTAGCAGCTATTTCATCTTGTGAATTTCTAACTTTCCATTCCGTAGTATCAACTTTGGAATCGCCAATTGCGGATCCATCCGAAGCTTCAGACTGCTAAATTAGTCATCAATTTAAGCATAAATAACCAGATTTGGATTCCAAATCAATTAGGTTATCGATTGCAAACAAATTGACACTGAAAACACGCGACATCACCACTTATCTACGAAAACACTCCATCAAACTATAAAAACATGAGCAATATCACCATTTTTGAATAGAATGTACCTGTTGAGCTCGCAGAATAGGAAGAGAGAGTCTGTGGTTGTTGATTAGAGGAAGGGAGGATAAGAATCGAGGACGAGGGAATGTGTAATTGAGAGATGAAGAAGGAATGGAATTGAAAGAAACATCACAACACATCAAACTCTCCATAGCTCAAACCTTCAATTTTGCAGCCATGGAAGAAGCCAACTCAATACAATAATCTTCAACGGTCAGATATTCTTCTCATCCATAACACAAATATCCCCAACCAAAATAAATACTTCCATTTTATATCTTAAATTAGGGATAAATTTATCAAAATCCAACCACCTGGACATTAAAATGGTATCGTATACAATAATTTATCTTAGCTATCTGATAAGATTCTCGATCCTTGTCATTACTTTTATCAGATAAGATTTTTAATCCTTGTCATGTTTATCTGGTAAGCTACATGATCGGTAAATTCTTACCAGATAAGCGTTTACTAAAATAGGTGATCACAATGTGTAAAAAAATTGGTGGTCATAATGTTTAACCGAAATATTATATTTTGATAGTGATTCACATCGTGATACTATAAGATTTTTGGTTTTGGATTCACAGGAGATGCTTGACGGATGTTCAAACTTGATTATTGATTTTGTTCACAATATGTATCCAAGTCCTTACAAAATGTTTTTAATGATCTATATTTTTTTTTGTTCACTTGTAATCACAATGGATTACTTGGTGATACTTATTAAGCCATCTGATGTTTACAATATATTTAGATTTGTGGTTTATATTGGATCTCACAAATTACACGGTTCACACTTCTATGTTATATGTTTTTTTTGCTTGTTTGGAGCATAATACAATATTTACATTTACAATTACATTTTTATAGAATTAACAAGAATACAATAAAAAAAAGTTAGAATCCAAAGCAATATATAATGGCTTAATTTAAATAAATTTTATCAAATCATTTAAATTTTATTTATCCAGTTCAATTTTTTAATGCAAAAGGAGACGTCAGTCATAAGAAAATGATATCGACATATATTAATATAACTTATAATCTCGACAGTAACAAGTCAATAATATGTTGAACGGTCATGCTTCCGAATGAGATTCCCACCTTGGTCAGAGCAATTCCAATCATACGCAAAATAACGTTTCCAACCGGGGCGGCAAAGAAAACTTACTTTTGTCGTTGATGGGAGAGAGACCGTAATGCCGGCCTCCTGTTTAAACGGCATAATTGCAATGTGCTTGGAGATGAGGTGATTTTTGGTATCCATCGTCCTGCCAATTTGCAGGTTTTTGGTCCTAGGGTTAGAGTTGCTCTTAGGTGTAATTCTGCATTTTTTTTTGCTACAGAATGACAATTTCTGAATCGCTAAGAGGTGAATCTTGTTTGTCAAAAAAAATTTAGGAATTTAAGATCGTATGTATTTGGTGGTTTTAATTACTCTAGCAACAAGACAAACCTACAGCCTGCTTCTTAGGACTGCTCTTGATTCTACATTGATGTTATCTTCACTCGATTCCGATCTGCATCGACATTCAAATGGTGAAACAACTTCAATCATCTTTGAATTCATCGATCCTTCGTTCTATAAGTCATTGCAAAACCATTTCAACATCCAAATCCTGTTTCTCATAACATGATCCTCAAATTATTTGGTTCCCGGAACATTAACGTTCCCCAAAACCCTAACCCTAATCCTGGGTTTAATGGAGTCGCTGTAGGGGAAAAGCCGTTGATCTTGCAGATTATTCATGCTGGAGGTAAAATTGAACGATACTACATGGCATTCCCTGCGGCTTGGATCATGGACAAGTATCCAAATTTTGTATTGGCTCGTCCAGAGATATTCCGGCGGCCATGGGACTCCGTAGTCCGCCCGGAGGAGATGCTCGTCCCGGGGCAAAAGTACTTTGTTGTTCCGATTCGGACAGTGAAGAAGCTCCATCGGCGAATATGGAAACCAAGCATTGAGATCACGAATGCTTTGGTTTGTCAAGACAAGGATACAGCTTCTAGCAAACCTAAACCAGGTAACCGTTGTGTTCGTTTTAGAGGGATCGAATCTAAGACTAGAAATGATTTGGGTGTTGCAGAAGATAACGTGAAGAAGAGCTTAAATGGCAAAGGATTGAGGAAGAAGAAGAATGTGCGTTTCTCCCCTTCACTAACAATGATCGATGAAACTCAAGATTTCCAAGATTGAGGTTCTACTCTTTGATTTTCAACAAGACTTCAATGGATCAACTGATTTGCTTTTTGTACATTTCTCATTCTTATACACAAATTTCATTCATTTCTGTTTTTGTTTAGTCTTTTGTAATAGAAAACGAATCATTTGAACATTCAAACTATCAACTCATGGTTGAAGAACTCGAATAAATATGTTTTTGTTTTCAGCATTAGATCATTGAACTTGTTATCTGGTTATCTTTTTGATTCTTGATCATCTCATTAGTGAAAACTAGTGGTTAAACTTCCAAAAATTGAGGGCTAAATCTGTGGTGTGTAAAAGAGGGATTATATTGACCATAGGATCTCAACAAAAAGAGCAAAGAAGGGGAATTGTTTGTTTTCGGAAACTCGGTCAAAAAGACATCTTGATGTTCATCCCTTTCCATCTTCATCTTCTCCTGGAATTGACAAGGGAAGGTGGAAAAATAGCCAAGCTTCTGCTACAACCACAAAAGGTAAATCATCCCTCTGTTTCTTTTTCTTGCGAATTTCCCATTTCTGATCCTTTCTCCTTCTCCAAAATGTCAAATGCAGACACACGGTCGTGCACCCACATTCGACCAACTACTATGCATGATGGGTTCAATAGTAGGCTCAATGATACATGTTCTTTAGGTTTGCTTTGGTACGAGAGATTACAAAAACTTGTTGTTCCATGTTTGATGGGACATTAGACTGTGGTAGGTTAGAACGAGGGACAAAAATGCATTTTCTTTGTCCCACCAAAATAGATGGAACAAAAATCATTGATAGAAGGGCGAAAATGCATATTTTTGTCCCATGTTTAATGTCAAATTAAAACCACAAAACCTTACAAAATTCTTTCACCCATCTACCTTATTCTTGCTCTTCCAGTCCTGTCCATGTATCGAACGCACCCTTAGCAGTTAGCAGCATAAGAGTAGGATTCAAACCAAACCGGACCAAAAATATTTTCAATTAGGTATCTGGTTAGGATGCATCAGATGAATGTTATATGGTTTTTGTCATACCTTTATGAGCTTTTGTATCTACCTTAATGATCAAGAGATTCTGATCCTATCCGTTTCATCCGATCTGCTAGGTTCTTTTGTATCCGTGTTTTGGTTTGAAGACAATCTTTCTTCCTGCGAACCTGTTTTGGGTTGAAGACAATCTTTCTTCCTGCGAACCTATGTCGGATGAGACGAGGACGGCTGCACAGCAGCCAGAAAAACAACTCAACCTATCTCTAGGGGAACTATCTCTAGAAGACGATATGAAGAACACAAGAATCGAATCGACATCAACACCACCTTCCTTGTCTGCACGGAAGTCCTCAAGCGTTAAAATGAGTTGCCTTTGTGCACCAACCACCCACCCTGGTTCCTTCAGGTGCCGCCACCACCGCAGCGCCTCCGTCGGCTCCAACCTTTCCCAGTTAGGAAACAGGAAAACCGCCTCTGTGGGCTCTAACCTTTATGAGTTAGGAAACACCAAACCATCGAAACGAACTAGGGAATTCTAATAATCTACAGTTGGTTCTGCTTTTCACAAGTTTCCCAGCTAGAAGTTGACAACTTCCCGATACAGAAATTGCCCTTCCATGACTTAAACCTGTAAAACTAATATGTAACTTTTATCCAAATGTATGTAACTCATTCACCAATATGTTGATAGAACCATCTTGTCTCAATCTAAAACAGGGCTTTCTCGAATTCAGAAACCGGAACCAAAAAGAAGAAAGCTAGTTTCTCAGATGCACATGTCACCGGAAACCGTACAGAGTTTTATATGTACAAAGTGCGTAATTTTGGGCCACATCGACCAACTATACTCCTATCACGATACATACATAACAAACAACAGATCTTATACCCTATACACTGAACTTCATGAACAAACACTAGACCGTCTAAGACTACGAGTGGCATATACCGGATTTGTTTGGTTTGGTTTGTTTATGTTTCTACTAAGCTCACATTGGACAAAGTGTTTTCTTGGGTTTCTTTTGGGGTCATCATGTGGTTTCTACAAAGAGGACAGGTTACGTTCCAGTAGTTCAACCATTTCTCGAGGCAAGATTTATGGAAAACGTGTCCACAGGAGAGGCGATTAATCTCTGCATCTGGTCTGAAATCGATCAAGCAAACGGAACATTCTTGTTTTGTGGTGCAAGAGAGGGAGTCGTAGCGAAGGGTTGGGGTCCGGCTTCTGAACTCATCCATGTAGGTTTCCGACGGACGTCCGCGGTGTTCAATAGATTCGTCCGCGGATGCTTGATCGGAAAAATCATCCTCCTCCGACCACGACGACGACGATGATGCGAGACGGATCCCGATGAGATGTAGGATGGGACGAAGGATTTCCTTCATCATAGATATAGAGATGGCTGTGTTAACCAGAATCAGACATAGAACTCCAGCATCACAAGGGTTGGAGTATGGTGAGAGACCCATATTCGTGTTTCAACCTAAACCATAAATCACCCAAATTAATCAAAAAGTGATTCAATCAAAACTAAAATGCAGAGATCATGAAGAACAATACCCTAAAAAAGCAAAAACCCACAAGAGATTGAAGTTGAATGGACATAAATTAACAGAAAGCAATGGAAGACATACTTAGAAGCAGGAGAAATCAGCAAATTGAGGTGGGTTTTAAGAGTAGAGTAGAGTAGAGTGGGGTGGGGGTAAGCTATTTGCCTTTAATGGCATATAAAAATAGGAGAGATGAAACACATACAATATATACTCCTCATCTTTTCCATTCAAGTTTATCATTTACATATATTTTATTATAACTATTTTCCATCCTACTTTCTATATTTTTAATGTATGATTTGATCTTATTTTAATGTTAAATAGATATAAATAATAATCCTTGAAACTTGACAGAAAAATATTAATCATGTTTGTTTAAATATCAAAAAGTTAGAATAAAAATCAAAATCAATTTAAATCATGTATTGAAAATGTAAAAAGTAAGTTTTAATCATATAAAAAAAAAATTAGTAATTAAAAATTTAATAATTAAATCTTGATATTAAGGAGAAAATTAATAAATAGGAATGTATTTAAATAAACCCTAAAAAAATCAATGAGCTGAATAATTTAATTATCTAAAAAAAAAGTCTACGAAAGAGGTTTGAATTGATTAACAAATTATTGACAAGATGCACGGAGTGGATAAAATAGACATAATAATGACAATATATTAGATTATTTTTTAAGTTTACTAAAATAGTCTAGTTTTTTAGCTATTTTTCTTGATCTAATTTTCATTTATATATATATATATATATATATATTAGAAGCGTACTCGTGCAATGCAGCAAGATACATCGTGATTTTAATATTTTATTTTATTCTTTATCTCAGTCGATGTTATAATATGGCTTTATATGATTCTCAGAAAGCGATGATGTTTTTATTTTTGAATAAAATATATGTTTGAAGATATCATAAAAATTTGACAAAAATGTATCGATGTTCGTATCAAATTAACTATTTAAAATTTCTCATTTTTTGTGTAATTTTTTATTATAATTTGAATTTAGGTACAATAACAAAGTAATTTATATTTGGTTTAATAATATAATTTTTTTATAAAGATAATAATTAATTATTTT